CCAGGCCTGGATTCGGGTGGCCTGGAGCTGTGTGCTGGCTTCATCTCCAGTGGGGACCAGCCTCCACCCAGTGAGGCCTCTTCACTCCCCGTGTTGCTTCTCCCTGCCATGATCACTAGAGCTGGTGCTTTCACAGGATGTTCTACTGGGCCCCTACCCTGGGCAGGGAGGGCTGTGCGCCGCCCCAGGGCAGGGTCACATCTCACTTCCCTCTCCCTGGTGCCTGTCACAAATGCTGGCGCAGAGAAGGCAATGGGGCCACCAGAGTGAGCCCACTTCTGCATCCTGTGCAATTTTTCAGAGATGCATATTTTTTCCTCCTAGGAGCTTGGGGCACCTGTCCTCGTGCTTGTCAACTGAGGCTGTCACTCAAGCTGGGCCTCCCAGGAACTGAGACACTGAGACACGCCGTAAAACACCAGCAGGTTTCCCTCTGAGCACCAACAAGTCCAAAGGGAAGATCATTAGAACTCGTGACACCGAGTCAACTGTATCTAAATAATACTAAAGCTGGAAGGGGCTGCCAATGACGAACCCTCTCCCGTGTGAGCTGGCAGCCGGGCATCCTCCTCTGCTCTAGTCTGGGTCTGCCCATGATTAACAGCTGGCTCCAGGGATTTGCGTTAGGAGGTCATAAGTAAAAATCCCCTTAAAATGACATTCTCCTCATCATTAGGATCCCTTTACTGAAGTGCATGGGGTTTTCAGGGGCATCTCCTGGAGCTGCCCGCTGATGGACTGACCTGGCAGTCTGTCCACCCCAGCAAAGGCCCTCTGGGGCATGGGGCTAAGGGCTGGGCTGCGGGAAGAGCACAGCTCCTCTGGGGCACCTGCCTCTCTCTGTGGGCGCCTCCTGAAGAGCTATATGGAAGCCTTCCTGCTTTGCATGCTCTGGTTTCAACGCCCACAGCAGCATCGTCAAGTGCTTGCTGTCCCTGTCCGGCTGTGGAGAGAGGAAGGGGAGACCCTGCTTCTAATGCGACTCCCACCCCTGGTCCCATTGAATGACTTGGCCTGAGGTTATACTGGCTTACACTTGATACATTTTAGGAATTTCATATAGCCTTCTTCACATTTACCCATCCCGGAAATTCTCAAGTCTTCTTTATATAGCAAAATGCCTCAATTTGTGGCCAATTCTTTTGGGGATACAGTACCAACTCAATAGCATGATATAAAAGGCCTCTTGGGATTGAATTCCACCTGCTCCTCCAGACTTGGGTCCTAACTGCCAAGGTTTTCCGTTTCTGCCTCATTCCTCAGCCCTGCCACACCGGAAGCTGACAGTTCCCTGCAGATGGCCCTCCTTCCTGCTCAGCTCTCCGCGCGCCTGGCTCCACTGAGCCCTTCACACTTCCTTCAGATGCTGCCCCTCCTGGGGGCTTTTCCAAGCCCGTATCTCCAGGCTACATTTGGAGTCAGGGCCTTAGGAGGCAATGAAGGTTAAGTGAGGTCATAGGGTAGGGGCCCAATCCCATGGGGCTGGTGCCTTCTAAGAGGAGAAAAAGGTCCCCGAGCGCTCTTTCTCTACCAGGTGGGGACACAGCAAGAGGCAACTGCTGCAAGTCAGGAAGAGAGCCCTCCCTGGGAACGGAACTGGCCAGCACTTTGATCATGGACCTCCCAGCCTCTGGAACTGTGAGAAATGAATGTCGATTGTCAAAGCCACCCCATCCATGGCGTTTTTGTTATGGCAGCCCTGGCTGACTAAGACAAAGGAGACCAAGCGTGAGCAACGTGAAGATTGGACAGTTTCATACAGTTTCATTAAGTCTGTAAACATTTTGCATCTCAGTGACAATTCTGATCTCTAAATTAAAATACTTTAAATTTAAAAATTAAAACACTTTAATGTGCATCTCTCTGACGATTAGTGACTTTGAGCGTTTAAAACAACAATGAGGTATCACCTCACACCTGCCAGAATGGCTACCATCAACAAACGACAAGTGTTGGCGAGGACGTGGAGAAAAGGGAATCCTAGTACACTGCTGGTGGGAACGCAGACTGGTGCAGCCACTATGGAAAAGAGTATGGAGTTTTTTTGAGGAAAACTCCATACTCTTTTCCTCAAAAAATTAAAAATGGAACTGCCATTTGACCCAGTGATCACACTTCTAGGAATATATCCTAAGCATATATGCACCCCTATGTTCATAGAAGCGCTATTTACAATAGCTAAGATCTGGAAACAGTCCAAGTGCCCATAAAAGAGCCGTGGTACATTTAAACAATAGAACACTATGCAGCTGTAAAAAAGATGGATCTCTTACTCTTTGAGACAGCATTACGGGACCTGGAGAGCATTAAGCAAGATAAGCCAGTCAGAGAAAGACAAGCATCACATGATAGCACTCAGATGTGGAAACTAATGAACAAAATAAACTGATGAGCAAAATAGATCCAGAGACATAAAAGCATGGGACAGATGAATGAATCTCAGAGGGAAGGGGGGTGAGATTAACCAAAGAACTTACAGGCATATATGCATAACCCATGGACATAGACAATAGTGCGGGCCTGGGAGGGTGTGGCGTGGAGAGGGTCAATAGGGGGAAAAGGGGATATCAGTAATGCTTTCAACAATAACGATAAATTTTAAAAATGGAAAACATTTTAAATTTTAAATTAGCAAGCTCACCAAAGCAGCAGCAGCATAGCACCATGGAAAAGGCAGGTCCTCCCCATGGTGTGCTGCGTGACCTTGGGCAGGTACTGACCTTGGGTAGGACTGGGCAGGATGGTGGCAGAGACCAGGATGAGCTCACACATACAGCATGCCTGGCAGGATGCTCAGTGGATCTCAGCCCCCCTTTCAACTCACCACTTTGGGAACACATTCCAGAATTCCTAGATTCACCATATCTTTACCTGTAGAACCAGAACTCCTTCCTCACTCAGTTTTATTTTCAAACCCTGTGACTTCATTTGCCTGTATCACTCAATCCCATCAGAGAAAAGGCTGCAGGGCATCTATAAATATCCCAGGCACTAACTAGATCAGTGTTCTTATTAAAAGCCCTCACAATATGGAATTTATTTTCATTCAACTCATATTGTGTATTTGAAAACATCTCATATAAGCCATACGACACTTTAGAAGGTAGCTGAGAGGTGGCTAGGAAATCAAATAAACAACGTCAAGATTTCATCACTTCGGCAAGACCTAGAATTCCTAGTTCAGAGAAACATACACTAATCAGATGCCATATTTCCAAAACCCCAGGATCCAGCAAAATGGGATTTATTGGGAGTGGATTAGCCAGTTGCCCTGGGCTCCCTCAGACATCTTTCCCTAAGCTTGGCCTCCCTGACCTTAACGCACTGTCTGATGTTCCACCACGAAGAGGCTGCCTGGGGTTAATGAATCTCTCTATGAAAGCGCCTGTGCTTCTGTGTGGGTACCAGGGGGCAGCCGTCATTCTCATCTCAGTGTAAATGGATTCCTCCTGGAACGCTGCCCAGGAACACTCCCTGAGGTCAGCTGCACTGGGGGTCTGGGAGCTTAGGTAGTACCGGGAGAGGGTGGGGAGGATGTGGTCATAAGGAGAGAGAAGGGAAAGGATTATGGAACATTCAGCCGCAGGCCTGTGCTTCTGTGTGGGTACCAGGGGGCAGCTGTCATTCTCATCTCAGTGTAAATGGATTCCTCCTGGAACGCTGCCCAGGAACACTCTCTGAGGTCAGCTCCACTGGGGGTCTGGGAGCTTAGGTAGTACCCGGAGAGGGTGGGGAAGATGTGGTAAAAAGGAGAGAGAAGGGAAAGGATTATGGAACATTCAGCCCTAGACAAGGTGAGGCAGGAACACACAGTGGTTTTGGAGGGAGAAAAGAAGACTGAGGTCCCCAGAGGCACTCAGGATAAGGGTGGGGCAGAAAAAGAAGCAAAAGGAGTTGCTGAGGCCCTAGGCCAGTGATGGCGAACCTATGACACGCGTGTTAGAGGTGACACGCGAACTCATTTTTTTGGTTGATTTTTCTTTGTTAAATGGCATTTAAATATATAAAATAAATATCAAAAATATAAGTCTTTGTTTTACTATGGTTGCAAATATCAAAAAATTTCTATATGTGACACGGCACCAGAGTTAAGTTAGGGTTTTTCAAAACGCTGACACGCCGAGCTCAAAAGGTTCGCCATCACTGCCCTAGGCAGTAAGGCCATAGAAGGAGCATCCTTCCACCTGCTCACTAAGCAGACCCATTCTGCACTCCCCTTCCCTGTCTGCTGGCCACTCTCCCTCTTGGTCATTTAAAACCCATTTTTAAAAAGTCACTCTTCAGATCCCACTGAAGGCCAACTCTAGGCTTGCTGCACAGTCACCTCTTCAGTGGCACGGCCACCCGGAGAAGTGAGTGCCACCTCTTCAATCTCAGTGCTGCAAGTGTCGGAAATAGACACTTCACAGCTTTTGATTCAAACGAGACACTTCATTTGTCACTGACAAGTGTGACACAGTGGTCCTTGTGATCACAAGTCATTAGGCTCTGAAGTGAGTCATAGTTTTCCACTTCAGACGAGAGCACGTGTTGCTCAGAGTGCACGCGTTGCTCACAGTGCACCTTGTCACTGCTCACTTCAAAGTCCTCAGGCCCCTGCTCTCAACCTGTGCCACCTAAAGCAAGGCTGCACCTCATCCAAGGGAGATAACAGAGCATCAAGGAGGGAGACACAGAGCATTTACGACACACAGATGTGCTAACAACGATCACAAAGTGAGCCTCGGATGAAGGGAAAGAGAACCAGCTTCCCAGGAGCTCAATGCAGACCCAAAGGACAAGACGCAGGTTAGCTGACCCTCCCCACTTCTGCCTGGTCTTTAAGGTGGCAGTTTCCATCCGGACTTTACAATGCTCTTTGTCTCCCTGAGCTAATTCTTCCAAGTATCAGCAAGTGACCAGAACCCGGAGGTGCCTACCCACTGCCATCATCACTGGAGCACACCGCCCACCCCCTGCAAAGGAATGAGCAGGGGCGACGGGCCAGGTGCGAGCCATACCTGGTCCAGCTTCCAGTGGAACTCGGCCGGGCGGAAGGTGTCGGCCTGGTCGAAGTCCTTCCGCAGGAGGAAGACCAGGCGGCAGTTGTGCACGTACAGGGCGTAGTGGTGCCGGTTCATTTCTGCAGACAGAGCGAGGGTTTGGGGGGGAGAGGGTCCCTGTGTCAGTGTCAGTCTCAGCAGAGAAGTCTTCCCGCCACATCACTTAGCACACCTCCAAGGACACTGGCATTCCAGTCTCTCTTTTACAATTGGTTCTGAGGAATGTTCTAGGACATACATGGTGGAGCTCATTGAAATGCAAGAGGAAGATTCAAGAAAGCCCACAGTAAAACTCCTAAGATGTCATTTGGGCTTTAGATATCAACCTACCCTAAGCTCAGATACTGCATCAGACCCCAATAAAAATGACTTAGGTTAGCAGGTTTTATTTATTTATTTTTGGTACATACACTTCTGAGAGAGTTAGAGAGCCCTCTGACAATCCCATCATTCACTCTGGGATCCTTTAACCTAGCTGGTTTCTCCTCAGTTCCGGGCTTTTATTTCATCAGGCTTGACAGGGGGACCACCAGGCACATCTCCTTCTCTGATCTCCATGCAGGGAGGGTGCTGTCTCACTTTTAGTTGCTGGCAGGAGGGGACAGATTGATTTTCCAACATCACAGCGTTCTGTGACTTTCCAGCCCTCTCTCCTCCATGCACAGACAATGGGTGGGACTTTTCCCTTTTCTGATCAGAAACTTCCTTTCCTGCTTAGAAAGTTTCATGCCATGGGTCCCAGCCATGATGCCCTGTAGCCACCAGATAACACCAACTGTGTAGGAGGAGTCTTTTGACTTCACAGTTACGATAGAGTAGCCCACACAGAAATATTCCACACGGCACATGCTCCACAAATGAGGGGCGAGTGAGTAGGTGACCAGGGGAAACAGGCCCAGAGAGCTCAAAGGTCACACCCTACGAACTCTGGCTGTCCGTCAGCAGAGGCTGAGCTGCCAGTCATCCTTCTGTACTGTCTTCCCGTTGCTGTGGTTATGTCAGGTGACCAGGGGAAACAGGCCCGGAGAGCTTAGCAGCTTCTCAAAGGTCACACCCTACGAACTCTGGCTGTCCATCAGCAGGGGCTGAGCTGCCAGCCATCCTTCTGTACTGTCTTCCCGTTGCTGTGGTTATGTGTTTGGAGTAACTTAACAAGAGCAGTATTTGAAATGGGAAATTGTGAAATTATAGTTTAAGATGGAATTGTAAACTTTGCATAAGATGTCAGTGTGTGTGTGTGTGTGTGTGTGTGTGTGTGTGTGTGTGTGTGTGTGTGTACGTACATGCATGCGCGCATGTGGGGCGTACTGACAAGAGCACAGGATTAGAATTAGCTAACTCTAAGCTTACATTCTACTTCTGATACTTACTGGCTGTATAACTTGGGACAGGTTACTGAACCTGCCAGGGATGTTTCCTGATCCTTAAAAATAGGAAACACCGCGATGCTTTAATAAACTTGTTTGTGGAGATGTGAGACACTGGCGAGGAGAGTAACAGCTAACACAGATTGCACTCTGGTATGCCAGGCCCTTTCTAAAGCACTATACATACACCAAGTCACTTAATCCTCACCAAACCCTGCAAGGTAGGTAATATTCTAATGCCCATTTTATAGACAGGAAAGTGAGGCACAGAGGGGTTAGACAACTTGTCAAAGGTCATGCAGCCAATAAGCGGTAGAGAGTTTTTAACCACCAAGCTGTGCACTGCCTTGCACGGCGGCATGCTGAAAATGCCCATCACAGGTTAGCCACCATTATTATGTATGGCACGGACATTCAAACTACTCATTTAAACTGTCAGGGCCCTATTATTGAAAATAAACGTTTGGAAGGCTATACAGGGATGGGCAAAAAAAGGTTTACAGTTGCTCTCATGGAAAAAGACATGCAGGTTATGATTATTACAATAGCTTTATTGTCTCACAACTGGAAACCTCCTTTGCCCACCCCTGTATATAATACAATGAAGATGGCGCTGCTTTGCTTGAAGTAAGGGTGCACCCCACCCATCTCGTGTCCAGCAGCCCCAAGCTGCTTCTGGGAGGTGGGGGCTCTGAAGAACTGATTTGAAACCACCAACCCCAGAGCCAGCTTTTGCCTTCTTTGTGTCTGCACATCTACTTTCCCCCTTTCCTGGTCCTACTCTACTCTGAGCCCAGGAATCAGCAGCCAGAGAGACCAGAAGCCTTTCCCAGGCCCCCTCTCTCACCCCTGCCTTTCTCCCACATCTTGGGTGGCTACGTCTCTGCCTAACCTGTTGGGACACCACAGGCAGCACCGAAGGGCTGGGCGAGACTCACCAGTCTTGTCTGAGTTGCAGAGGATGGTTTCCTTCTCGGCTCTCACGCCGGGGCTGGGGCCGTGTTTCATCCACATGGTGATGGTGAACTGGTCCGTCAAGTTCTTGGGCACAATCCCGTCAGGGACCTTGGCACCCTGCCTGCCGTCAAACTTGAAGATCATCTCGCTGCTGTCCACCAGCAGTCCCGCAGTCCAGTTCGAGGCAGCGCTGGGGGACGGCAGGAGGTCGATGATGCCAGAGGAGGCTCCTGCAGGGGCGGGGACAAAAGGAAAAAGGGTCATTCCTCCAGGGGTGGGTGGCCTTGCCTTTTGTTTTCTGCTCCTAGGTCAGCATAAGCTATAGGTGACCTATGAACAACACTGATTTGAACTGTGTGGGTCCAATTATATGTGGATTTTTTTCAATAAATCCTGCAAATGTACCTTATCTCCCTTATGATTTTCTTAAACACATTTTCTTTTTGCTAGCTTTATTGTAAGAACAAAATATTAATACATATAACATTCAAAATATATATTAATCAACTATGTATGTTAATGGTAAGGCTGCTGTCAGCAGTAGGCCATCAGTTGTTAAGTTTTTGGAAAGTCAAAAGTTATACATGAATTTTTGAGTGCATTGGGGGTCAGCACCCCCAGCCCCCACATTGTTCAAGGCTCAGCTGTACTCAGTGCACTTATTCAGAGGTCTGGCCCAGCCCTGAGCTCGGTGACTTGGGCAATGCTTATGGTCCGCTCGGGGAGGCATCAGGAACTTACACAGAGAAGTGTTGCATGTGGCAAGCCAGAGTGCAATGAACTATCATACAAGGAAGAAGTGCTGGAGGAGTTCAGGAAAATGGGGTTCCCCTGCGGGCAAGGTTCCTGGAGAAGGCCAGGGTTTATTGGGATCCATGGATTCATTCACATACTCATCCATCCATTAACCTGTCAGACATTGATTGAGCACCGACAAGATGCCAAGACCCCTGCAGGTGCTGGTGATGTAAAGGAGAATCAGCACCACCCCCGACCTGGAGGAGCACAGGACCAACAAGTGGTCAGACGACGGGATACAGTGTGATCGGGGCCGTGAGGGGAAGGCCTAGGTCCTGATCCCACGAGGAGTGTAAGCCACTTTGTATTCACCGCATTTGTTTGTTTTTTCCCTTTTTATCCAACCATTTGTTTAGGCCGAATGCTATAGTGGTTGAGTTCTGAAGTCAGAATTTGATGCCTGGTAGAATGACTTGTAGTCTTGTTACTGTGCACAAGTCACTTAACCTTTCTGATGTTCCACCTCCTTTTCTACTATCTCCCTGCCTGGGGTGTTGTGAGGACTGAATAAGAAACTGCATTCGAGCTTGCAGCAGCATGCTCACCACAAGGTGAATGCTCACTCCATGTTAGCTATAACTTTATCATTATAATAATAATTATTATTAATTATTTCTGCTACCACTATGATTCCAGACCAATGCATGGGGGCTTAACCTGAAGCAGTGGTAGTGTAAGGGCGAACTTGTGTCTTGGGAGAATCACACCTGCAGCCTTGTGGAGGGTGGAGCTGAGGTGAGTGGGATAATCCTTGGGCCTCCACCGACTTCCCATTGAAGCTCAAATGCTGCCACATCCTTATGTTCTCCACATCCGTGCGTTCCACACGGGAGCAAGGCTCAGCTACTCAGGAAGGAGGAGGGCAGGGGGCGTCCTGATACTGTCAGGAAGGAAGAGCCAGGGAACCCAAGGTGTGCACGATGCTGGGGGCCACTGTGTGGGGCTCTCTCCTGGCTCAGGACTGACCAGTTAGTTATAAATGCCGATGAGTTTCATGGATAGTGGTTGGGGGTATTGCCTTCTATTTGTCAGGGATCATGGACTTCTGAATTCTGTGTATCAGAGCCTAAGGATTGGGCTCCAAAGTTAACAACCACAACCTATAACAACCTATAGTTAAAATGACCCTTGAAAGTCCCTCAGGAACGTGCCGTATTGGAAACCAATATACTTCTTTGCAAATGTTCAACCCAGCCAGTTTTGCCTCCAGCCTTGGAAGAGACCATTGAGCCTGAGATTGAGCACCCACTGGCTTGCAATCGAAAGTTATGCTGTGTGAAAAGTATGCTCTCTTCAGCACTGTGAGAGGCTCACCTTGGAGAGGCCTCTGAGAACTGCAGAGTCTGAGCGTGTGGAAGAGTTCGGTCTTCCAATTCATGATCACCTTGTGGTTTACGTGCATCAAGAGCAAATGTGGGCAGTGTTGACTGCATTATTTACATGCATATTTCCGAGAGTGTTTGGTTGGTACCATGTCTGACACACAGTAGACACTGCATTAATGTGTATAACTAACTGCCTTTCCTCCCATCTAGTGCCTCCAAGAGATGTGCTGGCCATTTACCCAATGCTCCTGTGAGCCTGCCCATCCAGCCTCTTGTCCATGCCCCACATCGCTCATCAATATTTGTTCTCATCCCATTCCACTAGAGCAGCGGTTCTCAACCTGTGGGTCACGACCCCTTTGGGGGTCGAACGACCCTTTCACAGGGGTTGCCTAAGACCATCCGAAAACACATATATAATTACATATTGTTTTTGTGATTAATCACTATGCTTTAATTGTGTTCAATTTGTAACAATGAAAATACATCCTGCATATCAGATATTTACATTACGATTCATAACAGTAGCAAAATTACAGTTATGAAGTAGCAACGAAAATAATTTTATGGTTGAGGGTCACCACAACATGAGGAACTGTATTAAAGGGTCGCGGCATTAGGAAGGTTGAGAACCACTGCACTAGAGCCTCCTTTGGTATCTATTTTACCTATCTGTTAATTCAGACTAATGCTTGTTTGTTTTTTGCCACAGAGAGGAAGGGAGATGAAGGGAGAGATAGAAACATTAATGGTGAGAGATAATCATTGATCGCCTGCCTCCTGCACATGCCTACTGGGGATCAAGCCTGCAACCCGAGCATGTTCCCTTGACCAGAATCGAACCTGGGACCCTTCAGTCTGTAGGCTGATGCTCTATCCACTGAGCCAAACTGGCTAGGGCAAGACTAATGTTTTAATGACTAACTAAGCCTTAAGGGTTATCACCCTCCAGAGCTATTTGAATGAAAGAAAGCACTGAACAGACTGTCAAACTACAGTGGGAAGGCTGGGGAGGGTTGCACAGTGAAACATATTTTTTTTAAAAAGAAAGTTAAATATACGGCATATTAGCATAACCAATGGACGCAAGATACTGGGGGGTAGGGGAGGCCGGGGGAAGGTCAATGGGGAAAAAAAGGAGACATATGTACTACTCTTTGTAATACTTTAAGCAATAAAATTAAATTTAAAAAAGAAAATAGAAAGAAAGCTACCAAGATGGTAACAGGCTAAGACTTGGGGTGATATGGGAGATTTGTGGTCTTTAGAACAAGTTCTCAGAACCCCTAGACTAGTGCAACATGGCAACAGTTTCTTTGATCCAACAAAACACCAGGATTTGTTCAGCATGAAGACAGCCTGCCGACTGGGGCACACACAGTGTGTGTCGGTTCCTGAAACTTCAGGCGGCCAGGGAGACACAGGCTGAGGACTCAGGGCTCCTGACTTCTGGCTCCAGCCAGTGCAGCCAACGCCATGCATCAGGGCCCAGTGCAGAACTCTATAACTTGAGGCTTCTTTTTGTCTAAGGACCTTGCTGTTGTTAAGCAAATGTTCCTATAGAATTCACACTGCAATTAGCACCTTAGACTAGTGAAGGGGCTGCCTGTAATTTCCCCCCACACAGGTTTGTATAGAGGAAGAGATGTGCAATATATGTACAGGTGTGAAGTGATGGGGGTAATACATAAAGAGATTGGGAGGCAAAATTGGTTGCATTTGCCAAAGGCCAGCCCTGGTCAGGATTATATATATATATATCCTATGCATATAGAACTTTATTTTTCATAGTTACAGGTCTTTATTATTATTATTTTCCTAGGAAACTTTTTGGGGCACTGTGTGCCAGACCAGAATTAAGTACTGCAGTGCTTTTTCTTAGTTACTCAGCTATGCAATTAATACCATTGATTCCAGTTTGCAGCTAAGACCCCTGAAGCTCAGCAAGCCCAGGATCACAACCAGCTGGCAGTGGGCCCGTCATCAGGACTTCCCAGTTCTTTCCTCTCCCCTTAGACCTCCCCACGCATCATGTCACTGAACCTGGAGGGGAACCTTAGAACCTCCTGCCCATTCTACAAACATGGAAACTGAGGCCCAGGGAGAGAAAACGACCAAGTTCATACAGCCACACAGCAGGCTAGAGGCAGGCCCAGCCCTCAGACACCTAGCTAATGTTCTTTCTACCACACAGTAGAGTGTCCTGCCAAGCACAGACCAATCACCTAGGACCCAGCTCCCTATACAGGCCGTTGTCTACAGAAGGGCACGTTGAAGACAGCGTGTGACCTGCAAGGCCATCCATGCAGAGCTCCCTTGTCTTCCCTGGGGTGGGGAGCAGCAGACCACCCTGCCGCATCCACAGATGTTGCCTACAGGGAAGGAAGCATCAGGCTGCATTTAAGCAGATGGTGCAGATTCCTGCAAACTCAACATCTTGTATTTCTTTTCTCCATGCAATTAAACAAATAGAGATTTGCCTTCTCCCAAAGTGTTTTTTTTTCTCTCTCTCATCTCCCCAAGGGATTCTGTGGAGAGCAGTGGGCAAACAGATGCGTCACTTGCAAAGATGGTATGGCATCGTCTGCACATTTGGGTGTATTTCAGATGCTCCTTGGGACTCTTCCAAAGTCCCTGGGACTCACCTGAGAGGCCACACTGGTCTTGGGCATAGCAGCTGCAGTGGTGGTGAGGCCGGGGAGGGCTGGGAATCAGAGGTGAGGTCTGATTCCAGGTCCCTGAGCCCGCTCAGGGTGGGGCAGCTTCTCTGAGCCAGCAAGTAGATAGAGCCAGTGTGAATGAGGCAGATTCCAGGGTACACTGTGATGTGAGAACCCAAATGAGCCTGGGGGCAGTTGTCACTGTCTGGACTTCTTAATTGAAAGGTTTGCATTCTGCTCTTGGTGAAGGTCTTGGTGAGGGCAGAGAATCCTTAGCACTCCAGCTGGGACTGTGGCAGTGGTGATGGATATGCCTCCTCATGGTCCACCACAGCACGGGAAAGGATGAGGATGAGCGGGAAGGTCTCAGGGGAGAAGAACCATTGTGATCAAGGACAGAGGCCTCGCTCTCACAAATGGCAATATCATCTCCACATTATTTCAATA